CAAAGGGAAGCAACATGCATGTGTGAGTTTATAAATGGAAAAGGAATTGTATCACTGCTCAAGCTCAGCTCATTCATAAGATCTGTCATTTAAAGAAATCAAAGAAGGTTAATTTAAGAAAATATATTCTGAAAACCATGAGAACTAACAAGATTAAATTGAACAATACATATTCAATCTATTTTACCATTTTGAGTTTCAAGAAGTCTATAATGGAAATTTTGAATTCTAAAATTCTGAATAAAAGAAGTTTAATTATTCATGATTATAATCATTGTGTTGAAAATTATCTAATTTGTTATAGTTATATTGCTTAACAAATCAGTGACCATTTTTATATTTAAAAAAGAAATTCATTCAAATTAAAAGTGAGCTATCCATTGTATTCAATGTACACTGAATAAAAATGTTCTCAAATAATGTGGCTTTTTATTTAAAAATAAAATATCTTATAATTTAGTTTACTTAATTTTTAAAGGTGATTTTAAGATAAAGCATCTGCACTGGTGAAATTAAAATACTGTTTTGCACAAGACGTAAATTAATGCATAAACTTTGCTGTTACTGCCAGTAATTATAATATCCTATCTGAAATATATCAGGCAAGACAACTTCAGATAAAATGCAGTTTTAACAAGTTTAAACAGATTCCATTAAAATATTTGGGACAAAAGAAATATTTATAAAGCTCGCTTTAGTTATGAATAATACATTAGTTTTTATTTTACAAACCTTATGATTAAAACTAGGTTTATCATACATCCCAGTTTGGCTGATGTGTCCAGTTAAATATATAATCTGTTAGTATTTTAGAGTTTATTTTATTTTGGGGTAGGTGGGGGTGGTTACATCAGCCTTGAAGCTTCAGTGGGTTTTGGGCCATGAAAACAATTATCCAAAAGCCTAAGCCTAAAATAAAAATTGAAAACTGTCCCAAAGCCCTAGAAATTATGCTAAGCTTAATTAAAACTGCTTTTTTGCTGTTAATAAGAGAAATGAAAATTACAGGTTTAAAAAGTTATTAGTAAAAATTATTTAAATAAGATTACAATTTTTTAAATAGTACAGAGACTTAGAAACACACCACTGCTTTGCAATAAAGTAATCTTTATTTCTGAAATGAGTATTAAAACCATAATGCAAAGCTTGAAGAATATATTTACATGAGTTTAATTACACTAAAGCAAAAGAAAAAAAATGAACAAATTTTGAAGGTTACAAATGAAATTAAATTGCAAGTGAATTAAAGAATATTTTATTAAGCTAAAAGCTTTCATATATAATTTTAAAAAGCAATATTTTAGCATTCAACATTTCCAAGATAAACAATTGACAAACACTGAATTATTGAATTCACTATTTAATAAAGAAATTAATGAGAAACTTGAATTTTGGAATCTTGACTGATTTGCAAAGATGTCTTAGAGAATGCTACTGTTGATAGAAATTATTTGGAAAGCAGAGTTCTTAGAGATTTAAATGCAAACCTTATATAATCTGATTATCTTAATTATTTGGTCAGAGGGACAGATAAGTAACTAAAATAGAGTTGACATTGCTGAAAATATGAGATAATTTGCTTTCAAATAACTATTTGATATTTAAATGTTGATAGAATAATTGATTTGGTCAGCACTTTGCTGTTTGTTTTTGACAAATGATTAAACTTGAGTAGATTTAGTATTTAGCTTAAAAAGAAACTAGGTAAGAGACAATACAAAAAGCATCTATAACAACATATAAAGGAATAAAAACTTACATAAAATGACATTAATCTTATTTTTGGAATAGAGCAGACAGTGAAGGAAAGACAAGGGCTCCTTGTTTCCATCACCAATTCAACAACAGTCATATTCATGTAATTTCACAACCATACTTAGAAAACATAATTTCTATTCAGAAGTGCCATTTCAGAAGTACAGAAAGATCTATAACAAATAGACCTGACTTACTCAAAGCACTGCACACTGTTATATTATTTCCTTTTGAATCTGCAGGTTTATAGATTTTGGTTATTGCTCAGTACACGATTTTGAGAAACTGAAAAAAAGGCTAAAATGGCTGTTCCAAACCTGCAGACAATTGTAAAGTACATAACAACATATTTAAAAAAAAAAAAAAAAAGAGATCAATTAAAAATAAATAAGCAAACAATGTACACCTTACTAGCTGTGTGTATATTTTTGTAAGTAAAATATAGCAACTGCAAGAAACAATCATAAAATAAGTGAAAAAGCCATGGAATAAGGAAACAATGATATGCATAGGATAGGTTTAAAAGTTCTGTTTCTGTATTCATAAAGTAATTCAATGACTCTCAACATAAAAGATATATATTTATATTGATAGCCTATCTTGAATACTGACAAGATATCAGTTAAGAATGCCTAGAAAAAAGAAAAACAGCATAATAGTCCTTTTTGATATTGAAGTCAAGTATGAAGAATAAAATAAAACAACTGTAATACCTTTCTTGGAATTGGGAGTTTTTAACCCTAATTTAATAGACTTCACTTATAGGAAGTTTCAATGAATTTGGTTTATCCTGCTGAACACCAAGGTTTCAATAAAATAAAATTAACAGTAAATTTTGAGTACTGATTTTATTGTTGCAGTTTGAGATATCAATGATGGTCATGAAATTACC